TAACGGAAATAAATGTAAGATTTTTATTATACACATACATATATTTAACATACATCCATAACCCTGGAAAAGACATTCATATTTCATCATACAAATATCTTCCCTTGGCGGGATTCGAACCCGCGACCTCCATATGTAGTGACCATGTCACTTACCACTACACCAGACGGCCGTTTAAATTAAAGATCATTATAAATATTTCGACTTTTGAATATTTTTTTTAAAAAGACTGCGCTAAATTTAAGTTGAATCAACGCATCCCTGCAATGGCCGAGGAATAGTAATGGAGTTGAATAACATCGAAATATAGGTATATAGTGTTATATAGTCAGATAAGCTGATTAGATATTCTTCGTTAAACAAAAATAATCCTGTTCCTAATCAGTCGGCGTTTGTAGACGGTTGTATCCCTAATATTGCAAGCGGTAGTGGTAGACGGTAACCGCTTACTAGTTTTTCCATACCTATTCAATGGTAGCCTAGGGAGATATTTCAGCTGCGCCTCGACGAGCAGGTGAGCTCACGGGCTGAGCCTGAGAGATTTGGCTAATTCTACATCTAGGTAGAGCAGTGCTTGGCAGAATCTACCACCGCGCCGCAACCAGATCCACTGAGAAGATCCGGCGAGAAGTTCAGTGGGATAGAGAGTGGCAGTATTTCACTAAAGCAACTCTAGGTTGCGATAGGGTTCATTGGTAAAACTGCTTCTTTTTTTTTTGTCAGGAGGGAATCGCCGGACTTCCGCCCTCCACTGGGGACGACGGACGGAGTATGTCGGAGTTGAACCAACAAAAACCTCCTGTCGCTCAACAACCAACGTCCAAACCTCGCATGAGACAGAACTCTCATGATAAGGCAAAGGGGCCGGACTGGCTGTCGTCGGTGCCACGACCACCAGCCCTCTCGGTCGGCAGACTATCCGAAGCCCGCCTAGATGGCGCCGGTTAGAGTGAGTGGTAAAACTGCTATCTGAATCATTGGTTTTTTATTTCATACACGAGTGAACGAGGTGATAACTAAATCCCATAATATCTAAGTGAATTCCGTCACTAGTCTTGATATATGAGGTCTGAGACTCAATTTGTATAATATAACGCCGGTCTCACCATAAATAGACAATAAGAGCACCCATGAAGGCTAACTTAAATAAAAATAATGGGTTCGTTTAAAAATTCCGGAGCAACGACTTCTTTGAAGTTCGAAGCCAATGTAATGCGCTGAAAATGGCGTCAGTGAAAGAATAAATCGTAAAATGCTTCTCTTCAAAATCTTTTTTTTTTTAAATATCTGTGACGTTAATAGCCGCTGACTTTTAATTTCGAGGTGAAACACCCGCAACTATAAAGTGTAAGAGGCCCTTAGATAAGAAAATAAGACATTTAATTAACTTTTTTTTTTCTTTGGACGCGGCGCGGTGACGCCCGTTCCGAACTAATTTTTTAATATTCCTGGAAGGTTAACGGGACCTCGGAGGGTTAATTAAATGAAGGGAGCGCTTTCCCAAGATTATTTAATTATGTACAAAAAGTCCAGTAAAACTTAACTTAACTCGAAATTGAATTCAAATAATTTGCATTAGCGAAAACCTCATTAATGGTAGCGTGAATTTTAAATTGCGGTCATAAACAATAATCTAGCAATAATACGTACATTTAATAGATTAATTGTGGATGTAATTAAGTATACTAGTGGTCCCGCAGAAGTCGAAATTCGACTTTAATCAATTGTAATTTTATATTTAAACATTATTATGTATCTATTGTCAAATACTATGGTACTTATATAATATAATCACAGATTTCGCCAAAACTACACTATACATAAATAATAATAAAGACAAACAATATTTATATATTCTCAATTTGACCACAGACTTCAAACACTAACAAAAGTTTGACAATTGACATTAAACAAGAGTATATTTATATATATGTGTTGTGTCAAATACATGGTAGTGTGTGTAATGTTTAATTTATTGATTTAAAGTATCTTTCTGCACTTCTTCTCTTCTACTAATAATAATTATTATAAAGAGCAAAGATTTGTTTGTTTGTTTGTATTGAATAGGCTCCGAAACTACTGAACCGATTTGAAAAATTCTTTCACTGTTTGGAAGCTACACTATTCCCGAGTGAGATGGGCTATAATATTTTTGAAAAAAATTAGCGATCCTTACTAAAATTCCAATAACGTAACGCAAGGTGTAAAATAACTACTTATAATATTCTTTACAGCGCGTGCCCTGCGAAAACCATTGATGATAGAAATAAAATAATGTACTACGACTTTGTGAAACTATTATAGTTATGCCGCAATAAGTGTTCTTTTCGTTCGTTTCGTTCTTTCAAGTTCGACGAATACGGTTACCAGAATCCCTAATCCTGCTCCTAATGTTAGAGCTGAAGACGTCTAGTGCAAGAGTCATTGGATCTAATGGATCCGTGAGGATGTGTTTAGTAGGTTTCAAGTATACGTTTGAAAGAGGTAATAATCGCTGCTAGATATTGTAGATTATAAAGGAGGGAATACAATATTCGTCCTTGGTAAACCCACTGAGTTTCCCGCCGGATCTTCTGAGTGGGTCGCGATTCCAATCCGGTGGTAGATTCAGCGAAGTTACTGCTCTGACTAGGTCTAGGGTTAGCAAATTCTCTCAGGTTGCGCCCGTGAGCTCACCTACCCGTCTGGGCGTAGCTAAAATACATTCTTAGACGACCAGAGAATAGGGCGGGAAAAAACCGGAAAAAATGTGTAAAAAAAAAGTTGTAATAAAATAACCTGAGGAATAAGTATTACTTAGGTAATATTTTCCTCTTGAAATTGTTTTCATTGTTTTCTTGTTCCCTTTCCAGTATCCCTGACAACACGTTATGACATGAAAGCGTAATAAACATAGTCACTTTAGCCCTTATGTCACAGACGTATTGGATTACAACAAAAAATTTACCGCATTATATTTTGACTAATATAGCGCCATCTATGAACTACATTCAAAACCGCTTGAGATTCAATTGTGACTGTCATATTGTTTTCTCAAAATGCCCCTAGATGACAGTGTTATAAAAGTTAGGCCTCACAAATTTGGCTAGAAGATGGCAGTATAGTAAAAAAAATGCAAACTGAAAATCGTTCTGCTTTTTGCATGTAACATTATACCACGAAGTCGGCACAACCTACTGTTATTATAAGTTGGCCTTTAGTTTGACAATTGCTTTCGTCCGTAATTGACGATCAAGTGACTGTATAATATTTTCATTAAGTACTTAGCAACCTCAGCTCTATTGCTAGTAGCCCACCAATATAGTACGTAGTATACCATAGTAGCTAGTAGTCGCTAGTACCACGAGCTCAGCCAATCAGGCTAGCAAATGGCCTAGCGGCCGAATAAGGGCATGTTCGTTTGCCTAAGCCGTCAATTATAAAAAAACATCTTACTGGTTTTTTTTTATCCTACCTAAGTTGATAGCCTTGTGAGTCTATGCCAGCGTAATCCTAACGTGTAGGTGAGCTCCCGGGGCTCAAACCAGGAGGCGTTGCTAACACTAGCCCTAGCAAGAGTAGTGCTTCGCAGAATCTACTGCCGGATCGGAAACGCGACCCACTGAGAAGATCCGGAGAGAAACTCAGTCGGCAACCTTGCTGAGTTATACAAGCTATGTGTGTGTGTTTTAAGAGGTGACATTAAATTTTATGACTTGTCCGACTTCTAAGCCTTGCTGATGTCCATGAACATCGACGACTACTCACCATCAGAGGGGCGTTTTATAACCTGCCTTTTCAAAAAAATTCGAAAAAATCTAGGTTTGTTTTACAATTAATATTCTATGATAGCTTACATATAATCATAAGTAGACCCATTAGTTGATTTCATAATAGCCAACCGATTTGTAGGTTACCATATTTAACGATCAAAGACGTTTTCTTTGGCACCTCTGATTATTTAGGCTTTTTTCTGATACTAAACTCATGAGCGCGCGCACCACCTAATGATAAATAGTAAATGTGACATACACACATTTTACATACACAATTTATAGTCGTCTTCGTATAAGACGCTTGGTGTACTCGTATCGAGAGATACGACTGAGCCGGTGTCGGAATCCTGCAGAGCAAGTGCCAACTTTCCTAATGAAATACGTAATTAATAAAATATATTCGCGAACTACTTCCACAGTGAAATAATAACATCGTGTAATATTAATCAAGCCGACAATAATTGGATGACCAACTATACGATTGAGACATAGATGGTTCAAAAGTCCATGATGATGTTGTCAGATGGGTCCCAGTAACCACTTAAAATCTGGTAGAAGGTGAGGTCGCTCACGAGCTTAAGATAGTGGTCAGCAACCAGGGGTCACGAGCCGCTTACAGATTTGACTCCTCGGCTACAGGTCTTCCGCGAAATGTTAAGTTCAGATACGGAATCTTACTTAATATCTTGTCTTATACGAGGCGAATAATCATTTTTGAAACACAATGCTTTAAAAATGTTTTAAAAAGATGGCTCTTTGAATAAATTTCAATTACTTGTTATCTATATTTTGGTTAACAAAGCTTACGCCCACTGGCCTATGCAAACAAAAAATGATAATGATGGCATCTTCTTATGTTGAATAAGGACTGCCATATCCTTTCAAACCAGACTGCAAATCAGAATTGAAGTCGGCAGGGCTCACCTCAGCTATTGGCAGATTTGGGCTTATTTCACTATCTTCGTTAGTCGTGGAAGCGATTCGTGAACAAGTGGTAAACACATTTTACCAAAAACTTTGGTATTCTCATCTGTACTTTGTATTGTCATTCATACCACTTGATATGAATACAGCAAGGATCGGCCGGATAGCGGTATCTACCCGTACGGGCTTATAACGCCGTACCACCAGTAAATAATAATAATATGAAAACATAAATTATTAAATAGCTTTATGCCGATGTTGGGACTTAGTTCAAAATATAAATCTTAAACTAAATAAATCAACAACAAAAGTTAACTTAAACTATTTATTAATTTAATGACTGTGAGATTTTTACGTAAAATAATAACTACATTACATTTAGTGAATTAAATACAATATTACAGTTAAAAGCATTCCACAGCCTAAATTTATGTTCGCATCAGATTTCAAGTAATCTGGGGTCTCTTTCTCTTGGATACTGCGATGAGCTTTAATTTTATCAGGTTTAGCTTCAACTGAGGTAGCGTCGGGAGCAAAAACGTGATTTTCAGGGGGCTTTGCTACAGCTGCAGCCATTTTTGCAGTTGTGTGCCCTTGTGTGACGCTCGTTTCGGTGGTAAAATATTTCGTTGTCAATTTTGGATCAGGTTTTGTTGTGAGTTCTTTATTTAACTCCGTTTTCACAGTCGTGGTGGTGTAAGGACTTGAGGCTTTGGTACTAGCAGCGGTTGGACTTTTTCTGGTTGTAGTAGTAATTTCACTTTTTGTTTTCGTACCTTTTGTGCAATTCAATAAATCTCTGACGTCAACGTAAAAGAATTTTCCGTCAAGTTGAGTATCATCGTAATATTCGTATTCGGGATTCTGGAATTGGGTCTCTTCGTCTTCCGTGGTCTGCGTGGTATTCTTCTCTATCTCCTCGGTCTTAGACCAAGCTTCTCTTAGAGCAGCATCTGGTTGACATTTTAGGTTGTTGAGCGCCAGTTTTAAATTTTCGTTTTGTGTCTTATTCATTAACGACGTGAACCAATCCAACTGGCAGCTACACGGGAAGTTGTTGTCTGAAAAATGAGATACGTTAATTAATGAAACACGTATTTAGTAAAAGAGAAAATTACAGATAATCCTTAAAATAGGCGCTGAAAAGAAATATAAAAAAATTATATACTTTGAAATTTGAATCCAATAAATAAATCGCGTTGCTACTTCAAGAAACTTTTAATCAATTAATAGTAATAGTATTTAAGTACTATGCAATGTACTAAAAGAACACGTCGCTAGTAATTGACAAAAACAATCTGATGATCTTACCGTCAACGTCCAGAGTGCTGATACCACCATAGAAATTGGTCAAAATAGGAGCCATAACTTCAGCTTTTAGTATCTTTATCTTATTTCCTCTCAAATTTAACGAAATGAGGCTCTTTAGACCTTCAAATACTTTTAAATTGTCTATATCCACAATATTATTGTGCGCTAAAGAGAGTGATTGCAAGCTCGATAGACCAAAGAATGCTTTGTTGTCTAGCATCTGAATCTTATTTCCGTCCAAATTCAAAGACCTTAAATTCACTAGCGGAAGGAATGTATTATCGCCAATAACCTCTAAACTATTGCTGCTAAGATCTAATTTCTGCAATTTCTTTAATCCAGAAAATGTTTCGCTATTCAAGCTAAATATATTATTTCTATCGATCTCGATTTCTTTTAAATTGCTTAAATGCACAAACGCTCTGTCGTGTAGCGTCGTAATCTTATTGTTTGTTAAATAAAGTTTTTCTAATGAGGGTAAATTGACAAACACGTCTCTGTTTATTTCCACTATCGCGTTCGTGTCCAAGCCAAGTATAGCGAGGTCTTTGTGATCTGCGAAGGCGTTTACTTCTAATATTTTAATTTGATTGCCCCTTAAAGTTATTTCCTGAACAGCGCTTAGATTAGCAAAAGCGTATGCTCCAACTTTCTCTATATTACCATATTTAATGTCTAAGTTGAGTACCGATTTAGTGTATTTCAACGCCTCAGTCGGTATATATTTCATGGTGATATTGTTCTTTGTAAAAGTTAGTTTGGTCACGTCTTTGAGGTAGTCAAAGGCTGTCCAGGTGTCATCTTCTGGCTTTACGTGCTCAGCGAACAGGAAGCAATCAGCGCTTTTAAATATCTTCGGATTTTGATTGTCTTTGGTGCAGTAACATCGAACGTCCAGTGTGTTATTGTACACTAGATCACAGATGTTAGGGCGGGTGGCCCTTTTCTGATGGTGCGTTGATTTAGACTGGACAAAAGCAGTTGCAACGCACATGACTGCGATCACCCTCCAGAAGTTCATGTTGGTTGACATCTGAAAATGCAGATAAATGGCAGGTTAATAATCTTATATTTAGAATCATTGCGACCTAATAGTATTCATATATTAGTACAGTACCCGGCGATAAATATTGCACTTACATCTTTGGAAAGAGAACATCGGCTATTTTCGGTTTCGTAGAGCGTTGTCTCTGTCGGACATTAGCTATGTGACGTTTGTCAGTCTTCTTTGGCTCATTTGCAGTAGTATGTGGTGGGACTGTTAGTGTTTCGTGTGACAGAGATAACGCTATACGAAACCGAAATTAGCTGATTGTCTCTTTCCAGAGGTCGATGTGCAATATTTATCCCTGGGTACTGTACAGTAGGTGTAACTTATTTTTAAATGACTGATAAGTGATTTTACGTAATGGTTATGGTCTTTTTTCGTACTCTCAACTCTAGAAGACTAGCCCAAAAGATGAACCGCTCAACATTTAAGGTATTTTTGTAGAAATAAAAAAAAGGCTGCGTGTACTTATGTACGCGCGTAAGAAGTTATACTTTATTTTTATTAAATTTATTTCTTTTTTTTTTATTAAAATTTTAATAAATTTGAAAAAAAATCGATTAAACAACATCCTCAAACACGCATATGGGACATCCCTTTTCTTGACATCGTATAAATTCGGTAATTCTCGGTAGGTTCGGAAAGTTCACCTGCGGCTATATTCAGACTCGCCAAGTTACGTCGGTCGTATTGTAATGAGCGATTTAGTGGGCAACTTCATTCTGTTAATTTTGTGTCACGGTGCACGCGCATCGTAAAATTTCACTCTCATCAATTTTTCATAACGCGCCTAAAGAAGTATAACTTCAAAACTGTAATGCAAAGAATTTCAACTTCTATTTTACTTTCAGAATAATGATTAATGAAGCGTTTTCGTTTATCTATTGAAGTAATTGATTTTATAATTAAATTTAACAACAAAGAGGGACTTATCCGTAATTTTGCTAATATCAATCACGTTTTTAGTTATGTTCAGTCAAAAGAGGCTTATAGAAAATATTTCGTGGGCGTGAGTATTTCATGAGCATATTTAAATTTAAAATGTATTAAAAGCCTGCGTGGGTAGATCTTATTCTGGTTCTGCTAATTTCTGGAACTAAGTAATAATAGGATTCAGCTCAAAGAGTGGGGCTGTTATATAAGACAATTGATTTTTAATGTAATGTCTATTAGCTCTCGTAATCAATTAACATCAAGGATAAGACGTCCGGTGCATTCGTAACTAGTAGTGATGCAACGGTGTTCGAATCCCGCAGCCGGGTACCAATTTTTGTAATGAAATACGTACTTAACAAATGTTCACGATTGACTTCCACGGTTTAGAAATAGCATCGTGTAATAAAAATGAAACCCGCAAAATTATAATTTGCTTAATTACTGGTGCTAAGATCTCTTGTGAGTCCGCACGGGTAGGTACCACCGCCCTACCTATTTCTGCAGTGAAGCAGTACTGCGTTTCAGCTTGAAGGGTGGGGCAGTCTTTGTAATTATACTGAGACCTTAGAACTTATATCTCAAGATGAGTGGCACATTTACGTTGTAAATTTCTATGTGCTCCGGTAACCACTTAACACCAGGTGGGCTGTGAGCTCGTCCACCCATCAAAGCAATAAATAAATAATAAAAATTAGCCGTGAATTAGTTCACATATAATTAAAAGTATAACTGTATCAGAATTTGTTTGTTTGATATAAGTGAGGAGCGGTTTCCAATTAATTGAAATATAACAGTATCCTACTTCATACATTAATGGTGGACACATTCATCTATATGTATTATATATAGTTCTCCCAATTGATGAAGACACGTTTCCTTAACAAAAAATAAACGGTACAAAAAGTTTAAGTTTAATATCTCTATCAGGATTCAGTCTAGCCGGATGAACCAGAAACAATAGAGCGCTGCAAAACAGTGAATGTCGAATACTCAACAGTATAATCAAATGGAAATAATAGAGAACACGAAGAGCTTAAAGCTTATGTTCGTTCAAGCAAAAAAGGCTTACTGAAGTTGAGACAGTCGANTAACAAAAAATAAACGGTACAAAAAGTTTAAGTTTAATATCTCTATCAGGATTCAGTCTAGCCGGATGAACCAGAAACAATAGAGCGCTGCAAAACAGTGAATGTCGAATACTCAACAGTATAATCAAATGGAAATAATAGAGAACACGAAGAGCTTAAAGCTTATGTTCGTTCAAGCAAAAAAGGCTTACTGAAGTTGAGACAGTCGATATAGTAAATCTCGCAGGCACGCCCTTCAACTGGTCTGTGGCGTTTTATTATGCGTAAGCCGGAACGCACGAGATGTGAAAAAAAGAATATAGTCTGTGACACTAGACCTTTTTACCGCCAAATATGAAAAACATAAAAATAATTTATAATGTGTTAAGTAACTGATTTAATGTAATTACTTTATGCCGCTATGTCAATAAAATTTATATTGTTTCAACTGTGGTGTTAATTACATAAACACGACTAGGCGAAATAAAGAAGGGATTCTATATGCACTCCCTTAGGTCTTTCCCAAAGAGATGGGGAAGAGGAGACCTGTATTTACCGGATGTCTCGTTGATTTGATTATATTAATAGCGCTCCTAATTGTTTAGGCAGATAATGTCATTCAGCCTCGAACTACATTTACTAGTTATCAACCGGTCAAGCTGTGACATTATCAACGCCAAATTTGTGCATAGGTGTGCTGCAAAATACTGTAAATATTTGGTTTTTGGCCGATGAAGTCATTCGTCTGTATTATTTTAAGTGTTTTTAGAAAGCTATACGTTGGTGTGTGATTAAATGCTTACCGATATCATTGGATGGTCTTTGATAGTGTCTGTATCGACATACTGTAGCTCATGGATATTAGTGATGCCAAGAGTACAGACAGTAGCTGCCCGCCTGTTCAGGACTTGAAGACTTTGTTTAAAGAAGGACGCGTTAAAGATCAGAACCAACCCACCAACCAAACCACTCCCCTCTTACCCATATCGTCTTTCACGCAATCCATCCATTTCTTCTTAGGTCTACCTCTTCCTCTATATCCTTCCAAATTCATAGTTAACATTATCTCTGGCTACCAAAGTATGAGAATTAATATAATTTTACCGTTGTTTCACTCCTAAGCTCCTACTAGACTTACAAGACTTACTAGTACACTTACTAGATTCTATAGTTAAGGAACGTGAACCTCTCAATCCATTATGAAAGAATAGCTCCATTCAGAAATAATATGAATAGTAGTACCTAATAATATAGGCTTGAAATATCCTAATATCAGTAATAGAGGTCAGCAATTGGCAGCCTATCAGCAATTTACTAACATTGTGATGTGGAGACATACCTATTTTGAAGATTTATTCCATTTTAAAAGTTTCACATCCGACATTATGGTTTTGAATATACGAAATATTCATGTCGATTATTATAGGAGAAGGCCGTCGGTAATTTGCGGCAGCTTTATGATAATGGCGATGTAACAGCAAAGGGAATAACTAAACGATGTTTAACATTGTATTTCCATAGTTTAGAATTTTGACTCGATTTAAATAAATAAATATAAGTCAGTGTAAGTTATTTATATTTCTATTGAATAAAACAGTGTCTATGTTCATTGCAATGAATGATTAAAGTAACAAAATAGTTTTTTTTTAAATTAACGATTCTTCTTTTTCTTTTTCTCCATCGTATCCCACTCGGTGCGATCGGTACAGCTAATTTTTCTCTTCCATTCTCTTCTATCAGCCGTCATCTCAACACTCACTCCTCTCTCTCTCATATCGTCATTAACACATCCATCCATGCCTTCTTCGGTCGATTTCTTTCCCCTCTACCTTGCACTACTATTTCCATACATCTCCTAGTCACATGCATCTTCTCTCTACGCATCACATGTCCATACCACGCTAACCGTCCGCTCTTTAATTTGTTGATTACCGGGGCTACTTTTACACTTCCTGTGATATCATTCTTTATCTTGTCCATTCTTGTCACTCCACACATCCATTTATTGACGATTAAGAATCGTAAATTGATTACAGATTCAGGTATTGGTTTTGTTTTTCAGTTAACTTGCAGGCTGAGGTTAAGAGCACTCACTTTGTCTACGATCTCTAGGTACCACTTAACACCGGATAAGTCTAACTCGTATGCATAAAAACAACAGGAGAGTAAAATAAGTTTATAAGTAAATTGTATATACTTAATGTTTGAAAAACGAAATAAAATATTAATTTTTCATATGTTTTATTATTATTATTATTATTAAAAACTGTACAATTAATACGTTTCAGTGCTTAGCTTACTCGTATGCATAAAAACAACAGGAGAGTAAAATAAATTTATAAATAAATTATACACACTCAATGTTAGAAAAACGAAATAAAATATTAATTTTTCATATTTTTTATTATTATTATTATTAAAAACTGTACAATTAATACGTTTCAGTGCTTAGCTTACTCGTATGCATAAAAACAACAGGAGAGTAAAATAGATTTATAAATAAATTGTATACACTCAATGTTTGAAAATCGAAATAAAATATTCATTTCAAATGTTTTTTTTTTAATGAAAACTACAATTAATCCGTTTCAGTATTTAGCTTGCGGGCGAGTCGTGAGCATTCCAAGCTATTTTTCAAATTTCGTAATCGGAACAAGTTTAATGGCTTCGTTTATGGGGTTCGGTGTGGCCCACATCGATGTTCATTCGACGATTAGTAACATACAACATTTAACATACTTATAATTTAATACTATTCAGTGAAGACATGCTTCTGTATTTCACAGTTAGTGATCACACTAAATCTATACATATAAATAAAATTGGAGTGTCCGTTTCTAATATTGAAATAACCGTTTTTTACTACATGCATATGAATACATGTACGGCACATACACCAAAATATTTTTTTTTACAATTTTTGTCTGTCTGTCTGTGTGTTCCGGCTAATCTACGGAACGGCTGGATCGAATTTGACGAGAC